ATTTTATTTTTTTATTTTTTTTTATTTTATTCAAAATATCTTTCTTCCACAGTAAAAAGAAAGTCATACAGTTTTTGAACTAATAAAAACGGTGACCGTCCTAAAATAAGCAACTAACCCGCTCATTTTTGCTGATGATCAGCTTAAAGAAACCAGCTAGGACGGCAGCAGCAGGGTGACTTTCTATCACTCGGTCTCTGTCTTTGTGAAGCTCTGCCCGGGTGACACTCGTCAAACGGCTGTCATTGTTCATATCTCATTGAGAGGTGAGAGCATTACACAAACAGGCTGTGACACGACACTGCCGGTGTTAAGTGACAGTGTGTGATCGGCCGTCTGAGAACACAACCTTCTCCAGCGCCGTGTCTCAAAGCCAGGGCCCTCTAATAAGACTGACCCCTCGCTGTCATGTACTGGCGAGATATTCACCGCGCCGAGTGCTTGAGAGGCTGCCAGAGAAAGGATATAAATGTCACTCACAGCATCACTTGAAAATCCCAGTCTATGTCTGCTTACAGTCCTGATTTTCAACGAGTGAAAAAAACAAAAAAACTGTACCTCATCGTAAATTTCACATTACTAAGTGAACACAGTTTTCTCCTGACCGTAAAAGACTACAGCTGATCATAAAAATATCGAAACCACAGGAGTAATTCTGCTAATGAGCGTATGGCAGCGGCGTCTGATAATGAACAGAAAGGTCATTAAATGAGACTTCGACATCTGATACATAAAGAATGAGGCTGAATGGAATAGATTTTACAGTGCTTGACGATCAAGGTGATGATCTTGTATCTCGGCGCAGTGGCCCTCGGGGAAGTCGACTGTAATTGGACGAACTCATCACCTAATGCGCCGGCAGCGTGGAGCTCCACCCTTCATCATCACAATGACCTTCATCTGCCTCCACGTCTTCACAACAAGACACAGATCTCAGAAACCGTCAAACCTCAAACACAAAAGGTACAAAGAAAATTAGTCAAAACTTAAATGTTATTTGATTGAGAACAGCAATTATGAGCTAACATTATATGTAACACATTTTAAATAATGTCTGAACAGTTTTTAGTGTTGGTTGCACTCATCATCTATGCAACTATTCATCCATGTACCAATTCTGTCCTTTTAACAATTCATTTTCTAATTTTATGAATTTAGATTTAAACACTTTAGATTTGTTTATAGAATCTTTGGTTGGAAAACGGAATAGGAAACAACACATTTTTAAATCTAGATTCTTTTTTAGAATCTTTGTTATTTTTAGAACTTTTAAAATAAGAAGTATTTTTATTTTATTATTTTATTTTATAGGATTTTATTTTATAGCATTTTAAACTGTTTAGACATGTCCTGTATTTTGGTAACAGAGTTGGAAAAAACAAATAAAATAGGAAACAACTATAGGAAATAACATCTGATTGATTTGCAGTGTTGACAGCATATAGTGCCAACCATGTAAGGATTCTAACCTTTTTTTAATTCATTTTCTAATTTTAGAAATTCAGATTTAAACTTTTTAGATTTTTTTATAGGATCTGTTTTTTTTTAAAGAATTTCCCTAATTATAACTATTTTTATTTTATAGAATTTTTTTTTTTTTTTACAGAATTTTATTTTGTTTTATAGGATTTTATTTCAAAGGATTCTATTTAATAGGGGTTTTATATATTTTTTTATTTGATTTTAAACTGTTTAGAAATGTATTTAAACTGATTAGAAACCATATTTTGGTAACAGGGTTCAAAAACAGCAACCCTCATATAAAATGAATAGAAAATATAAAATCTCATATAATATTTAGTTTGTACGGAGCCCCGCACATGACATGCAAGAAAAAATAAATAAATCGTGCGCACGATTTACTAATTCGTTCCCTCGATGTATTAAAACGTGCACACGATTACTATTTAGTTCCCTCGATTTGCTAAATCGTGCGCACAATTTACTAATTAGTTCTCTCGATTTATAAATCGTGTGCACAATTTAGCAAATTGAGGGAACGAATTAGTAAATTGTGCACACAATTTATAAATTGAGGGAACGAAATAGTAAATAGTGCGCACAATTTAGCCTACTATTTTTTTTCCTGCATGCCATGTGCGGTGCTCCATAAGTTTGACCTCCTGAGGTAGCCAAAGAACATTTTCTGAATGTTTAGCACCTTTCACAGTTTTTAAGATTTTCTAGCCCTATCTTTTTGTGGAAAGTGCCGGTTATAAGATATACTCGAGGCACACTGTGTTGAAAATGTGATATCCATATAAACCAGCATCTTGAATTTAGTAGCATGGCTTGTGTTTTAATGCTGAGGGTTTTTCTCATGTAGTTTGAAAATATCTGCTGCTGGTTTCTATATCTGGATTCACGTTCATTACCATCGAGCACTTTAATGTGCCGCACACAGAACAGCAATGAGCTCTTTTATTGGATTGGTGTAATCATATGCAGCCCAGCAGTGACTCCATGCCTCGCTTTCTCTCCTTCTGTCTCTCAGGGAAAGGAAGCCAACTGAAGAATCGACTTGCATGACTTGCAAAGACAGACAGCAAAAGTACAGAAACTCCAGTATATATTTGAATATTTATCATGAATTGTAAAGAATATCCTTTGGAGCTCATTAGCAGTAAGAGTGTAAAATATCATTATAATTGTATTTTAATGATATTTTACACTGATACTAAATAAATGTGCATAATTTATTTTATAGAATTGATTTTATAGCCTTTTGTAGGGTTTTATTTCATAGGAATATGTTTTCTAGAATTTTAAACTAATTAGACATCTCATATTTTGGTAACAGGGTTAGAAAAACATACAAAAAAACAAACGTCCCCAGATATTGGGTAGGCCTACAGTAAACAACCCAACGTTTTTCAGACTGTAGGAAAATATTACTTTTTGTTAATTTGTGTTTTCTGCTTGCTAATTTGCACATAGATTCGCGAACACACTCCGAATTCCTGATCTGAATCAAATGATTCGCGATACGCGATCCGATTGGAGCGCTTGGAAACAGTGAATCATTTTGCGACATACACTCTTAAAGGGGTCATATGATGCTGCTAAAAAGAACATTATTTTGTGTATTTGCTGTAATGAAATGTGTTTATGCGGTTTAAAGTTAAAAAAACACATTATTTTCCACATACTGTACATTATTGTTTCTCCTCTATGCCCCGCCTTTTTGAACCGCGTCGATTTTTACAAAGCTCATCAGTCTGAAAAAGCGAGGTGTGCTGTGATTGGCCAGCTATCCAATGCGTTGTGATTGGCCGAATACCTCAAGCGTGAGACGGAAATGTTACGCCCCTCACATACTGTTGATGCCGTGTCCCGGCCGGAGCAATGAGACAAAAACATTAAAACCCATTACAAACGAGGCATTTGTTGCATCCAGCGGGGACATAATTACTGATTATAATGACTTATACTGTCTTTTTACGCGTTGCGTTGCATTGCATTGCGCCGCGTAAACATAAAACCATGTCTGCATTTGTGATCGGAGAAAT